TCTTGTGAATTTGGTGTCTCCACATATTTGGAGGGCAGTTTTATAGGGTTTTAAAGTAAAAAAAAGTAATTAATTAGATTACTTTTTTTACAATTAGAAAAAATTGTTAAATTGTAGTTCGTGGTTTGGTGACCTTGATAAATCACAAATCAAAACGAATCACCATTTTTCTGATTCATGCCATCTCTAATCATTACCAAGTGTAATAATTCACCTGTTATCTATTGCCATTGTTGCTTTCTTCATAAGTACTAAGCCCATCTCTCATTGCAAGGTAAAAACTGTCACTATTACCTACATTAACATGCGTGATTCCTCTGGTATCTTCTTTCACTTTCATATGTACTTTTATATAGTGGTGCCCTGCATGACGACAATAATCCATTCCCGGAAAATTGCTGTTAAGTGAAATCGTAGTCATGCAAAAAACAATTCCCCATTGGAATGCATTGAAACCCATTTAATGCGTTCCAATGGGGAAATTACCTCGTCATCCAGCGAAGATCGCCCACAAGGGAAGCCATTTTCCGAGTGCCGATCAGCTGTTCAAATGGCTGACCTGCGAAGCATGGGTCCGGAAAACACAGGGCAGCTATTTTAGGAACCCAACGATCAGCTGTAAAGATCATAATCTTGCGAATAAACGGTCCGCGAAGCACAGCCCTAATCGACGTCCAGCAGAATTCCCTCACAGGAATGACTGTTTTGCGAATTGCTATAGCGATCACAAAAAGCCACCAACCTGTGTATTTTGATCGCTGCTTTCCCCCTCTATTTCCTAAACCCTGCGGCAGCAGAAGTAGAGCGGGAAAGCAGCGATCTTAGGAAGTGGAAGGGTAAAGCAGCAATGAAAGGGCTGCAGGATCACAGCCCTTTGATCCTGCAGCCCTTTCATTGCTGCTTTCGCCACCCCCCATTTCCTAAGCCCCGCAGTGTGCATACACACCCCACTCTGGATTGATTTGCAGGCGAGGAGGAACAGCGCCTGCTGCTTCAGATCTGTGGAGCAGCAGCAGCCGCAGAAATGGAAGGGGTGAAACCCGGCAAGGAGATGCCTCCAGACCCCACTGATGAGCATAGGGTAGGCAGTTTTGTTACCACACAGTTTTCTCCTTGACTTACTCCCCTGTAAAAGACTCTCAATTTTTCCTCCAATGATTTTAGGGAAAAATACTGCCTTTTACACTGAAAAATAGGGTACCATACACTCAAGAGCTAATGATTATTTAGAATGTTCTAGTCATGGCCAAAAATATTGGCACCCTTGCAATTCTGTCAGAAAATGCAACCCTTCTTTCAGAAAAGTGTTGCAGTTGCAAATGTTTTGGTATTCACATGTTCATATTTTGGGAGGTTGTATTTGAACAACAGAAAAAACCGCTTGCGGCCATTGTCCTTTGCACCATGCCAATCACCGAAGCAGCCCAGCTGGGCCTTCCCTGCCTTCCTCCATTGCTGACCAATCAGCAGCTGAGCATGGAGGCTTGTCATCCCGCCTCCTCACAGGATTGGTCAGCAGTGCAGGGAAGCAGGGAAGCCCCAGCTGGGCTACTTCTGCAATTGGTGCGGGACAAAGGATGGCGACCTCGCATGCCACAAGTGGGAAGTGGACACCCAGTTTGGGGGGGGGAAGTATCCAATCAGACTGGCCACCTGGGGTGGCGAGCTTCGTATTCATCCCAGGAGATGACTATGAAGCTCCCAACTCTATTCCCAATGCCCAGCTCTTAGGTTCTTAAGCAAAATAATGAAAGCTCAATTGGAATGAATGCTGCTGGGGTTTGGGGAAAAGCAGTGACATAAGCATGGTTAATAATGCATTTGTTGTTTTTAAAAAGGTGAATTCTATTTTGGGATTTAGGAAAGGGACAAAAAAAGACCATTAAAGAATACATAATGCAGCCACATTTGGAATACTGTTTATAGCTGTGAAATACATCTTTCTATATATCTCAGAAAGGGTATCACACAGTAGGAAAAGTACAAAAGGGGGCCACAAAATGATCAAGGAGGTTGAAGCAAGCTCCTCTGCGCAGAACAGTTGCAACATCTGGGTCTTCCATGCTTAGAAAGATATAATTATGGAGACATAATACAGACATATAGAAATATTAATGGTAAAAAAATGGACAAAGAGAAGTTGTTATCCTCTCCAAACATATATTTCTTATAGCACTTTTGAACTGTTGAATTTACTAGCAAAAGATGGCTGTAAACTTGGGTGGCTCTAAAAAGAGATTAGAGAAATTCATGGCAGACATAGCTGTTAATGGTTACCAGATATGATGACTATGTATCACCTCCAAAACAGTAGCATTATGTATCCGAATAAGAACAGAATGAAATTTAACAGGAATAAGTATAAGATTCTACACCTGGGGGGGGGGGCCCCAAACGCACAGTTACGAATGGTGGATACTTGGGTCATTAATACAAGGGAGAAGGCTCTTGGAATTGTTGTAGACCACAAACTGAATATGTGGTGCAATGTTGTTGCAAAAAAAAGGCACATGCTATTTTAGGATGCATCAACAGATGGATAGTCTCCCAATCATGTGAAGTACTAGTCCCCCTCTATTTGGCACTGGTTAGACCTCATCTAGCAGACTGGAAACCAAGCCTATGAAGAAAGACTAAAAGAAGTGGGTATTTTTAGCCTTGACAAAAGAAGGTTGAGGGGAGATATGATAACACTTTTCAAATATTTTAGATGTAGTCACACAGAGGGGGGACAGGATCTGTTCTCAATCATCCCTGAGTGCAGGACATGTAACAATGAGCTCAAGTTGCAGCAAGCCAGATTTCAGTTGAATATCAGGAAAAATACCACAGGATATATAACTGAAAACACTGCTACAACACAACTACCATGCACATCACAGTACTTCAAAAATTCCACATAATAAACTTGGAACTGCAGAACTGGAAGGGACTCTATGGATCATCAAGTCCAGCCCCTGTCAAGGAGGCACAGTGGGGAATTTAACCTCTGACTTCACAGCTAGATGCCTAAATCACCGAGCTATCCAGCAGTTAAGCAATCAGAAAATCCCCTATGTATTTCTCACCAGCTGGATAGTTCAGTGAGACGTTGGTATCTACCTGCAGTGTCACAGGCTGAGAGTTTGTTTGCCCACTGTGCCTTGGAGGAGAACAGTTAGCCTGCATACTCTTGGTCAACTTGCAAAGTCACCCTTAGATGAAAGGAGCAGTAAACATATTGCTGAGTACTCTACACCTAGAAAACCCTGGAAAGGATAACAGTAAATCTGAATTGACTTAATGATACATAATTATAAATTATATTTCTCATCAGATTTTTTTTCTGGCAACAGAAAATTCACATTATGAGAGATAACACAAAACAAGCATTACATTGTTTGACAAAAGAAAATTTAAAAATGTGTTCACGAACCAACTTCTACAGCACAAGTATGTAACTTTCAAGGGTTAAAGAACCATTTGTGTCTTCCTCTAGACCAGTGGTTCTCAAACATGGGTCCCCTGATGTTCTTGGACTGCAATTCCCAGAAATCCTGACCAGCACAGCAAGTGGTGAAAGCTTCTGGGAATTGCAGTCCAAAAACATCTGGAGACCTTAGTTTGAGAACCAGTGCTCTAGACTAGTCATTCCAACCTAGGCTACCTGTACTCTCAGGGGTACAAACCAGGACATTTGAGAAAAGCCACATTCCCTCCATTTGCTATTTTGATGAATGATGGGGAGTCCATCCATAACCAATATATTGCAAACATGCCACTTGAGCGCTCCTGGTCAGTGACACAGTCCTTACAGACTGAGCTTTCATTCTCTACTTTGCAAACATTCAAATGGTGTTCCACCAGCTCTGGAATATGTATAAGAAGACATTTCAACCAATTTTGTGAGTCCAGCACAACATAAAGGGTACAATTTATCAACATGGGCTGCCAAAGGGTACACAAGTGAAATAAGGGTGGGAACCACTGCTCTAGACCTTGAGGAGCTATATATCCCCAATGACCATCCCAGTCCGCCAGAACATGTCTCCCTCCACATTTTTGTTCCAAAATGAAAATTATGCCCCTACAAACAGGGGGAAATGTGCATTTTAAATCCTATTTTGCCCAATTTTAAGCTTCAACACGCCTTTGAAAAAAAACAGGAAGCTACTAGGTGGCCATTTCTAATTTTTTCAAAAAAATTGCTATCTCCTTTCGCTTTGGAATAAAAGTGTCAAAATGGTGAGAAGCAAGAATATTTGTGTATTAGCAGAGCAGATGCAGGATGGTTGAAGAAGCTCCCATTTTCAGTCAGGTTGGTTAGGGCACCCCAACAAAAGACTGAAGTTTGCTTCCATGTTTTCAGGAATACTGTCATTTGAACAAAACCACTTGGCACCAGTTGCTGTACCAGAAAAAGGAAACCCCAAAGCCAAAAGAAATTGACAGCCGCGACTCCTAACTACTGAGCTTTGGAAAGAGCTCAGATCAACCACATCTTCAGCTGGTATACCTATATGCAGCTACTACCCTGATGTGGAAACATTGAAAACACATCCTGCTGATCCCAGTTTGGAGGGAAAAGGTAACACTGTAACACTAGGACATTGGTGACATCGACCACTACTTATCTGAGCAGTCCTGGCTAGTCACCTCAAACAATCCACAGGGCTCATGAAAACAACAACAGTAACACTGACAGGGTAGTACTGAAAAGGTTTCAGGCACACAACCAATAAACACCCTGGCTTTCAAAACCTGCATTAAATGTATTTTTACATCAATTTCTACACAATCCGAAGTCATAGTTAAGCATTGTATCCCAATAAAAAAGTACTATGGGGCAGAGAAAAAAAATCTAATAAAGGGAAACATGCAATAACCATTACAAGAAAGACACTCAAACTTTGAATGTCAGCCAGATCTGAAGCTCACACAGGCACTTCCTTTTTCACATTTTAGCTTTGTCTACTGCTCTACAAAGTAAAACAAACACCAGTCAAGTAATTGTTACTTACATATATGAGTCCAGAGTAGTATCGATCCTTCAGGTTATGCAGAACTGAAGCCTCATTTAAGCAGGTTAATTCTGCCATATCTTCCACTTTGGAAAATTTGGGCGGATTCATCTTCTGAATATCATCTTTGCTGACAACTGCTTTCTTTCCATTCTCAGCCAGTTCAACCAGCACTTCATCTCCCCTCTCCTCTTTGATGCTGGCAGCCTCAAAACCATGGCGTTCTGAAGGAATCCACACCAACTTTTTAGCAGTCCAATCAGCCTGGGTAGCTGGATTGTAAATTACTGCCCTGTCCACAAAGAGGTATCTCTCAGGGTCTTCCTGTCCTGTCCTCTGTGCCATCATTTGGGAAATGTTCAACAACTGTCACCTAATAAAATGAAAGCAAAATTGTTATCAGAAATAATGACCCAAAAACACAAATAGTTTAGCCTCTCATTCAGGATGGATTTGATTTAAATCATTCTTCCTGGTAGTTATAATCTTTAATATTTACAACTAGATGATGTCATATTTAGAATAATAACGTGTCAGATTAGTAAAACAGATTAGAACTGATTTTAGTTTAATAAATTAATCACTCATATTTGGAGAGCTACTTAAATTGTTTTATTCCACTACAACAATAACATTAGATAGGATACATATTCTTGTATTTGCTTAACCATCAATGTTTATAAACTGAAGTGATTAAACAAATATTTTTTAAAATGATCTTCCAAACAATATTGAAACCTAGCATTTAAGGTACAGTAGGACCCTCCCTATCTGCGGGATCCCAATCTGCTGATGCACATCTGTTGCGGAAAATACCGAATTTCACCCTATCCCACCGCCGCAAAATATGTATTTATATGTAGTTCCAGGGTGCATTTATCAGAACTGGCCACTAAAGACCATGTCATGTACATTGGTGCCTCGACTTACGACCGTCCCGGCATACGACCATTTCGAGTTGCGACCAGCTCCGGCTGCAAAATTTTGCTTCAACTTATAGCCGGAGCTTTGAGTTGCGATCAAAAGAGGCAGGGGAAAAAGGTTGGGAATTGAAATTAGAGGGCTAACTGTTGGTCAGCGAAGAGCTTCTTTGTAGCTCTTTCGCCTCAATGGTTAGAGTGTGTGCGTCGGAGGAGGCTTCAGAGTGCCTGGTGCTGCTTTCTGGTTCTGAATAAGTACATTTACAGGGTTTTGCAGGGTGGGTTTGGGCTGGGGGGTTATGTTTCTGTGCTGTGATTTTTTGTGTGTTTTTGTGTGTTTATTTTTTCAGCACCAGCGCCTTCCCATGGGGCTTGCTGTGTTGTTTATTTTTGGTTATTTTTTTAAGCCCCAGCGCCTTCCCATGGGGCTTGCTGTGTGCTTTAATTTTGGTTGGCTTTTTTTAAAAGCCCCAGCGCCTTCCCATGGGGCTTGCTTTGGGGGGGTGGTTTTTGTTTTTGTTTTTAAAAGCCCCAGTGCCTTCCCATGGGGCTTGCTTTTGGGGGGGGATGGTTTTGGTTTTTGTTTTCCATTGCATTTCAATGGGAAATGGTGCTTCGACTTACGACTATTTCAAGTTACGTCCATCTTCTGGAACGGATTATGGTCGTAAGTCGAGGCACCACTGTATAGCATTCACTACAGCAGCGTTTTTCAGCATCTGCAGGGATGCTTGGAACCAATCCCCCATGGATACCACAGCCCTACTGTAATGTGTTCATTGTTTGTACATAGATCTGAAGAACAACAATAGGTTTAAGGACGTTTCCTGAACGTTGTTTATTTTATACCATTTTTATTGTGGAAAAAAAGCAGGTTATCTTTGCTTGGATAACATGGATTAACTGAATTACGTTACCAAAAATGTAAATATTGCTTGAATATACAGTCATGCTACATAACTAACCTCTATTTCATACTGAATAACATTTGAACTACAATGTATTTTAAATAGATTTTTGCTCCAAAAGCATTTCATTAAAATAAATCTGATTTAAATTTTAAAAATCTAATTTAAATAAAAAACTCATTTAAATTTTTTTTAAATAATCCATTTTAATCCACCCCACTCTCGATACTCCATATATTATAGATAAACTAGCTATTGTAATGTGATGTTGAAAATAATCCAATGGGAAAAATTCGGCATTATCTACTATAGTTTACCACTTTTGAAAGCAGATCATACTATGAAAGCAGACAGGTTATGAAATTTACACCTCAACACTACAGCAAACGTAACTACTGCAACACATGGCTTACTAAGAATCCAATCTGTAGAGCACAAAATGCTTGCACATCAAGTCTGGTCTGTCTCACCTTTTTCCACTATGTTAATATTCTCCCCCTACAAGTTTAGTCAAAAGCCAGTTTCAGTAGATCCAGTGTTGCTTTCTAATGCACAGGAACACAGCTAAATCTCTCATGTCAAAATACTTACCATGCAGAATGCATAGATGTGTTTAGCTTTATATTACACACATCCACAGCTGGACAATTTGTTTTAATGCAAGAAGAGAAAAATAATAATTCCACAACTTCCTCTCCAGTTCACACTATATAGGACACTTCATCAAAAAGCACTTTCTGTGCTTCTGACTTTCACAAACTTTATTATATGGTATGTATTTGATACATCATAATATTTATGTATCAACAAGTCTATTCTAATTTAAATATTCATTCTCCCACAAAAAATATACAGTGGTGCCTCACTTAACGATGTTAATTAGTTCCAAAAAAACATCGCTATGGGAAAACATCGCTAAGCGAAACAATGTATCCCCCATTGGAATGCATTGAACCCGGTTTTGACAGCTGTCAAAACCGGGTTCAATGCATTCCAATGGGGGATACATTGTTTCGCTTAGCGATGTTTCCTATGGCCATTTTCGCTTAAGGACGGTAATCCGTTCCCATTGGAACAGATTAACCGGTTTTCAATGCATCTCTATGGGAAAACATGTTTCGCTTAGCGATGTTTCCTATGGCCATTTTCGCTTAAGGACGGTAATCCGTTCCCATTGGAACAGATTAACCGGTTTTCAATGCATCTCTATGGGAAAACATGTTTCGCTTAGCGATGTTTCCTATGGCCATTTTCGCTTAAGGACGGTAATCCGTTCCCATTGGAACAGATTAACCGGTTTTCAATGCATCTCTATGGGAAAACATGTTTCGCTTAGCGATGTTTCCTATGGCCATTTTCGCTTAAGGACGGTAATCCGTTCCCATTGGAACAGATTAACCGGTTTTCAATGCATCTCTATGGGAAAACATGTTTCGCTTAGCGATGTTTCCTATGGCCATTTTCGCTTAAGGACGGTAATCCGTTCCCATTGGAACAGATTAACCGGTTTTCAATGCATCTCTATGGGAAAACATGTTTCGCTTAGCGATGTTTCCTATGGCCATTTTCGCTTAAGGACGGTAATCCGTTCCCATTGGAACAGATTAACCGGTTTTCAATGCATCTCTATGGGAAAACATGTTTCGCTTAGCGATGTTTCCTATGGCCATTTTCGCTTAAGGACGGTAATCCGTTCCCATTGGAACAGATTAACCGGTTTTCAATGCATCTCTATGGGAAAACATGTTTCGCTTAGCGATGTTTCCTATGGCCATTTTCGCTTAAGGACGGTAATCCGTTCCCATTGGAACAGATTAACCGGTTTTCAATGCATCTCTATGGGAAAACATGTTTCGCTTAGCGATGTTTTCCCATAGCGATGTTTTTTTGGAACTAATTAACATCGTTAAGTGAGGCACCACTGTATATTTCATAACACTGATTAATGAATGCCAGTACAGTGCCTGAAATCCAGTAGTAAATCATAATTAGGGCAAGCCCATTGAATTACAGTGGTGCCCTGCTTGACGACGATAATCCGTTCCATTAAAATCACTGTTAAGTGAAATCGTCGTCAAGCGAAAGTAAAAAACTCATTGGAATGCATTAAAAACCGGTTAATGAGTTCCAATGGGGGAAATACCTGCTCGTTTTGCAAAGATCCTCCATAGGGGAAGCCATTTTCAATCGCTGTCTTCCGGAAATAGGTCCAGAAAACAGCAGGAGGCCATTTTGAAAACCCGACGATCAACTGTAAAGACTGTCATGAAGCGAAAAATCAGTTTCCGAAGCAGGGACCGAATCAACGTTAAGAGAAAAAAACCCATAGAAACATTGTTTTGCAATCACTATAGCGATCACAAAATAATCATCGTAAAGCAATTTCGTCGTCTAATGGGGTCGTTGTCAACCGGGGCACCACTGTAATGAAATTTATAGAGGAGCTGACTTACCAAATCCCCACTGATTCCATGGATGTTCTCTAGCTGTGAGTTACTACTGGAATTTGGCCAATATACTAGGCAAGCTAACAAATGACTATACAGTAACCCTAAGTTTTATTTCTTTTCAAATCTCTACCTTCTGAAAAACCTCGCAAAGCAGAATTTCCTGTCCACAGATGATTATGACAATCATGTACCATCAAGTCAATTTTGACTCACAACAACACTTTTCAGGGTTTTCTAGGTAGACAATATTCAGAAATTATTCCCTTATTCTGTGGATATTCTGGAACCGTGCAGCTTGTCCAAGGCCACATAGGCTTGCTCTTCTCCCTAGCAGCACAGTGGAGAATCGAACTCCCAACTTCTGGCTCCACAGCCAGATACCTAACTCACTGAGCTATGTGATTTATAAACAATCCTTCTGGGGAGAAAAGCACAAAAATCAGATTTTGCTGGACTGAGGTATGCTAAGAGCTTATCAAGAAATGGAACCATCTTCTGTGTTATAAAGGGAAGAATTGGGGAAGGCTTTTCAAGCAATTTTTTGAGGAAGGAGAAGCTGTTTGCCTTCTGAAGAGCAATCTATAACTTCTCAGTTAGGTCTTGCTAAAAATAATGAAATGAAAGAGTTTCACTATTCTGATCAAGGGTTAATTCAAGAACAAAAAAGAAAACCATATGAATAACAATTTCATAGTGTTTCCAGGTGGGAAGGGTGAGAACATATATTCTCCAGTATCACTTACACCTAGAAAAAGATGGAATTTTGGTCTGTTAAAACTGGAATTCCATTCTTTGAAATCTTCACAGCCTTTCTTCAATTTACTTTTCCCCACTGCTAAGTATTTATTGCTCTGTTTTCAGCTGCATCCTGAATGGGACAGGTAAGGAAAACTGAGACTTCATCGCTCAAAGATGTTAAATGGAATTCCTGTACAACACAGATCACACATCCTCTCAGTTCAAGCCCCTTCCCCTCTAAATAGAAAATGCCCAAATGACCTTTTTAATCAATTCTTCTTCTGATAGTACTGCTCACTATCACTACCTCTTAAACATCAAGTCAATGTCTCAAATAAAATCCCTGTAAGAGCTGTTTAACTATAAATTTTACAGTGTGAAAAAAGTGCTGAAATAAACGCAGATCACCAGTTATTACTACAACCCAGTGCAGTCTTGCGGATAGAGTTTCAGGTTAGGAATCAGGAGACCTGGAGACTTTTGGGGGTAAGCAACAGTAAACCAATCCTTCAACATCTCATAGACCTCAGAAACCCTATGTATAGTTGCCATAAATCAGAACTTATTTAATGGCACATTAGAACAACAGCTATTACTGTAAAATGAACCCTACGGGTATATGAGGCACTGAAATGTAGAAACAAAGGAATATTAACCTATAGCAAAACATTATTTTTGAAAAGAATACATAATTTTCAAATTACTACTGAAGAAATATTAATGTTTATACATTCCAAGATTAATCACATCAAGAAATGTAATCTGACAAAAAACCCTCATAGCCCAAAATAATTAAAGTAATTTTAATGAAAAAGGATATTTTTCAATAATATAACCAAGACAGATACCACTTTAGAAGTTTATCACTGTCAGCATGGCATCAACTTCAGTGAAATTTAACACATGATCAAGCCAAGTTTTGCTGATCTTGAACAGTAAATTCTGTCTGCACAAAAGATCAGGTCTGAGAACTCTGTTATGAAATCAAATTTAACAGTACAGAGGACATTATCTAAACTTACTAGCAAAAGCACTGCTTAATTTAATTTGTGCATTGCACAACTATGATATCTAACCATGTGTTCAAAAACACAATTAATGATAACATGGAAAAACAATCCTCTGTGAAAGAGATCACGAGTGGAAGGTTTACTAATCATGCAACTTTGTTTTGCTGGTTATGTCTAGTTGGGACAACCTCCGAATGCAGCAATTTGCTAAGCTGTTCTTTTCATATAAAACCCATCTACAGAAGTACACTCACTAGAACCAAACGGTAAAATTTCGTATTAAAAACTGTTCTCCACAGATGTGTAGCCTGTATAATTAAAATTGTAAACCGCCCGGAGAGTGCTTGTAGCGCTATGGGGCGGTATATAAGTCCAATAAATAAATAAATAAATAATAAATAAAAGTACACTCACTAGAACCAAACTTTAAAACTTCATATTAAAAACTGTTCTCCACAACATTCATTTTACATATCTGTCATGTATTCTAACAGGCAATTAGCTGTAAGATAATTATCTACATAGTGTGCCACATTCCCTGCAGAATTTCCTCCACTATCTGCTTAATCTTCAACAGAAACAGGTACAAACTCAAAATCTATGCCATGCAGGTAATTTATGGCAAACTGATTAGCTAAACAAAGTCTAGCCCCTTAACATGAATAGGGAACAACAGTCTTTTAAGGAGGAAAAGGTACGTTAATTATTTAATAGATGAGACAACGATATAGGAAAAGTTAAGGCTGATTAATTGAAAGAGCATTCAATGCATTCCTTCTCAGGTGAGCACTCAGTAACATATATTACTAGCATCTACACTGACAGCACATCAGCCTGATAAGCCACTAAAGTTTAACAAATGCAAAGCAAGCATGAAGTCATTCAATCCACCAGGGGGCCGTGAAGTCGCCATCCTCACTTGCTGCAAAACCGGTTGAATTCACATCATTAGACCAAAAACCGATTACAGTAAGATGGCACAGGGCTTTAAGAGATACTGTCTATAAAGCCAGACCCAGAGAGGAAATGAAGCATTTGGCGATATTGCTATGGCTGCCACCTGAACCCAAAGTAATGTACAAAGCATGAGCCATTTACTTCAAGAGATGGAAACAAAAATGGATGAAAATATACCTGACAGCAATTTAAAGAAATTGATAAACATTTCTACAACAGAAATGTCTTTACAACAAGACTTTGTACATCTGGCTACCCTTCATTAATCTGCTCTTTATAATACACACTGGTTAGCATCTTTTTCTCCTCTCTGTCTAAACACCGTATCACTAAAACAGGTCCAGGTGTCTTTTTAGTCTCAGAATGCCACATCTGCAGTGAAAAACAACTTTCTCTAAGGGTCCCATCACTTTTAGTTTCTTGCAAACAACAAACAAAAAGAAACAAGAAGCCACCACCAAGGCCTACAAGAGCATACACAGCCACATCCTGGTTTCTTGCTCTCCGCTAGAAGATTACCTGGCAATCTTATTTGAGTGCAATTCAGAAAAGCCCCCTATCATACAGAAAACGTATCAGAAAGCATTCTCCTCAGTTAAACAAAGAAGTGTTTAACTGAGTTGTTTCGCACACTTCTCAGTTCTGGAACAAAAGTGTCTAGAATAAGGAGAGCGCAGAAGTGGCGATGGGAGGACACTAAGGAGCTGCTCCTCCAAAGAGATAAGCATGCCCCCTCATACATCTGAAAACATGCCACGTACACAGGCAGCACAAGGCTATGCCAAGACATTCGACAGATTAAGCAGTTTTGCTGGTTTGAGATGAACCGGCTAGTCTCGGAAGGAATCGGCTAGACGCAAGCTCCAACTTTAGGGCCAGCTCTGACCAGCGCCCGCCTTTTGAAGGGCAAGAGAGCGGCGGTGCGACAACTTCCCAGTCTCCACTGCGGAACAGACGGGAGAGAAGCAAAAACCGCGAAAGGGCAGGGAAACCAGGGAAATAATCGGGGGGAAAGAGAGGGATACGGCAAACCCACAACAAGCCGAGATCCCCGATAGCTCCATAAAGGGCGAGCGGGCAGCAGCACCTCCGGCCCCAAACCTCACCCTGCCGTGAAAGAACAATGACCTCATTCGGGTGCAAACCCAGGGAGCGAGAGAGGATCTGGTCACTACCACCGGCCCCTGATCCATCAGACAATCCCACCCACCACCCCCTCCCTTAAACAAAGGGACACGTGCAGTTTTCTTTTTCCCCTGCGACCTGGCCAGGGCGGCCAGACAGCCCTTTGATAGACACACATTGGCTCTAACCGGCGGGGGGGGGAGAAGGGGGGAAAGGAGCCACCATTACAACCAACGCCATTCAGCACAATTCCAAGAGGGAGAGAAGGCCCATTCATTTCCCTCAGTCTCAAACGACCCCTTCCAAGGAGAAAAGGAGGAGGGTGTGAACCATGGGGGCGGGGAGAGGAAGGGGGGGTCGCACTAAGAGAGAAGTTAAAAGACAGAAGGCGACGATCAAGGGGCAGGGAAACCACGGCACAAGACGAGGCTCCCGACTGGGCGGGAAATGGTGGGAACACAGGAGGCGGAGGGGAGGCTCACAGAACGACCGTTAACGGCGACCCTCCCTCATCCATCCATTCATTTCCCCCCACACACACACACACCCCCAACGCACAGACACAGCTTATTGCTTTCTCTCCTCATCTCTCACCTGCACCCTGCGCGAGCGAGCGAGCGCGCGCACTCCTTGTCAGGCACCCACCGGGTTCGGCTCTTGCACGGAGAACCCCCTTTCTCCAGCGCGCGCTCGAACCGACTCGGCACTAACCGCCCCGCCCCCCCTCCGGGCGCCTTTAGCGCCACACAGAGCAATTCCCCACCTCCTCTCCGGGCCCGCCTTCTCCAGGCGCTCCTGAGCTTCCCACTGGTCGCTTCGCCCACCCATCGACCTCCCCCCCCTCACTTACCTCCTATTGGCCTCTTGGCAGCTCCGCCCCAAGCCAGGATCATAGCAACCTTCGTAAACTACTCCGTTTCTCCGCCTCCGTCTTTTCTACAGAAAGCTCCGGTTGGCTGCCTTTTCCTGCCTATCAAGAGGATACTAGTCTCCCAATGGCGGGCCCCTACTCTCGTCCCTACTGCTGGGAGAGAGA